TCTATCTATCTATCTATCTATCTATCTATCTATCTATCTGCCTCCCTCTCCTTCTCTTTCTCTCTCTTTCTCTCTCTCTCTCTCTCTCTCTCTCTCTCTCTCTCTCTCTCTATCTATCTATCTCTATCTCTCTCTCTGCATAATGTCTTTACGCTTTCTGATTCTAATATCCATAGCTTAAGCAATACGATATATTATTATGATTTTCACCGTCACTGTTCAACTATCCATTCCTTCTTACCTTCCCTTTCTTCGTCTCCCTACCCTTCCCCATTCCCTCCCTTTCCTCTCATCTATCGTCTCGACACCGTTTCCTCGCACTCCCCCCCCCCTTTCCCCTTTTTTCCTCCCTCTATCTTCACGCTCCTCCTTTTCCCGCCAACCCCTCCCATTTTCATTTCCTTTCACTCTAATATCCTCTCTCTATCCCACTCCGTTGCCTCCTTCTCTATTCCTCACTCTAAAATCTACCCCAACTCCTCCCCTCTTCCCCCTCCCTCCCTTTTATACCCTCACTGCTTCCCCTTCCTTCACCGTCCCTCCTCCACCTCCCCCTCCCCCCTCCTTAACTCCTTCTCCTCTTCTCCCCGAAATCTCATCTTTCTCTCCCCATCCTCCCCCTCCCTCCCTTCGAACCATCCCTCCTCCCCCATCCTCCTCCCTCTCCCTCTTACCCCATCGTCCTCCCTCCCCCTTCCTACCTCCTCCTCCCTTCCTCCCCTTCCTCCCCTCCCGTCAGCGATTGGGAAGAAACGTTCAACTGCTCCATCACGGACCCAGACTGTGTCCAAAACAACGACGTGATGTCTCTGGTAGGTGTGAGCACATACCCCTACGCCGACATCGCCTACACAGCTGTGCTCACCTATGCGCATGCGCTGGAGAGAGTACTCCAGAACCAGTGTCCCAATGCGACAGGACATGACGTCAGGGAGTGCATGAGGGGCACAGACTTTTTATCGGTAAGTAGATCTAACTCAAACTACTGTCAAGGAATCAGGAGTGAAGACTTTTTTTGAACACGTATCTTAAGTGTCAACTCTTCACTGTTCGTGCCACGACACGATGGAATCAAGCGCTTGTCAATATTTGGAGATCTGGAGATAGGATGGAGGTGGGGGTCGCTTGGTATCAGGGGTGAAGTTTGCGAGAAAATAGCCGCCAAAGTTTAGTGACTTCCACAGCTTAAGTGTCTTTGGAAAAGTGCAAATTTACCGGAGGTTTTTGTGCCTTTCATCAATGTTTTTAAATAAAATACCACGCAGGAATGTTTTGAAATGGAATTGAATGGTGTTGATCCCAAAACAAAAAACAAAAAAATCGACAGAAGTTGCCGAACGGGAGGAAAAATATTTAAGTCTTCTATTCCAATATTTTGACGAGCGCCTGATTTAACCACGATAGAAAACAGTTCTATTCACTAAGGCTGAGTGACAAAGCGGTATTTGTGTCCACTCAAAAACAGGAACGTCTCCTGGAAAATGTAGGTACCACAGTAAGAGAGGCTTGCTGGGCTGACGAAAGATGAGGCTGACACCATGAGTAGCAGTTTATTCCAAATTTGATTTACGGCTGAAAGGTTTCATTTAATAACAAAGACAAAGAGAAAACGGTGTTGTTTAATAATCGAATGCAGACAATTTTTATTAGCTATAAAGTTAAATTAATGCATATAATTGTAGTTTTTCTGCTCAAATTTGAAAGGCATTGTAGCTTCTATCAAAAGATAATAATATTATTTTCGAAAGGAGAACACAAGTAACTAGGACGACCCTTTAAATGTTAGTTTGTGAAGAAACAGAGCCGTGATAAGGCGGACAGTATAATATGTAATCGTATTTTTAAGAAACAGAGCTCATATATCATTATGGCGAACGTGATAATATGTGACTGCATTTGCCAGAGAATAGAGCCGTTATGAGGTGGATTTGGGGATCGATTTTTTAAATTTTTTTTGCCAGAACAGGGTATAGATATTACAGGCATTGCGTATCACCGTTTTTGCCACATCGCTACATCAGAATTACAAAATTCTATCAGCTCAGTAATTAGTTTTGAGAAATTTGGCATCAAAGATTTTGAGTTTCACACCATGTCAAGCTTTTTCGAATGCAATTCTTTGACTGTTTTGACAACGAGTCAGCGTAATCTTACCATTTTGAAAGAGCAGATAGAACATTGGTTTTTGATCTCATGGTCTTAATAACTTTATAATTCTGAGGTAGCAACTGCAAAGCCGAGGTGTGGTGAGTATTGTCGTCATCATAAAGAGCAAAATCTGACACAGACATCTAGGATCATGTTTTCCATACATTTCTCCGCTCGAATGCTTTCAAAAAGAAAAATATGATGTGCAGCTTGTCCAAATAGACTTGTCAGCCTTGTGTTCCTTCTTTTTTTTTTTTTACATTTTCAGTAAGAGCATGGTATTCTAGCATTTACATCGAGTCAAGTGTCCTAAAAAACTGCATATTTTGTGGCTTCCTAATTGTTCTTATCAGTGAGCGTTCCGTGGGGGGTTTCTTTCAATGCTTCCACGTTTGATTCCGTTTCCTTCGTGACGTTCCAAAAAAATCACACATAATGATTAATCATTTTGTCAAAGCTGCGTCGAGATAAGGCGAACAATGCATGTAACCGAATTTGCCATAAAAGGCCATAATATGGCAGTGTGACCATTTTTTGCTAAAATATAACGAAAGTAAAGAGCACATTACGTGTGTAACAGAATTTGCCGGAACACAGCATGTATATGGCGGACATAATAGTATGTAACAGTGTTTGCCAGAACAGAACTGAAATGAAGCGCACATTATGTGTAACCCTTTCTGTCGAAACAGAGCCGTTAAGGCAGACATAATGTGTAGCGTTTTTTGCCAGACCAGAGCTAAGATATGGCGGACATAACGTGTAGGCGTTTCTGCCGGAACAGAGCCTGTCCACGGAATTCCCACTGTCCCTATAGGAAAATGTTAAGACGGATGATCCTCTGTCCCCCTGGCACCCGCTGTCCGAGACAAACGATTTGATCAAGATATTTTGTTATTAGACAAGAACATTGGACTGAAAAAAAAGATCTATGTCGGAAAAATGAATAACAACT